TACTGTATATTAACAGTATAAATTATTGGAAAAGGTCTACGTCTAGATGTATAATAATTAATATTAAACGCCTATTTAGTCATCAAATTGCTTAAATAATTTCGTCACTTTTCTATATTTATTATTAAGAAAGATATAATATTAATTAAAACTGATTTTTTAAAAAAAAATCTCTTTTTTATTGTGTGAGTTGTTAACATTTTAGAACAAAAAAAATATATATATATATTTTATTCCTGAATTAATTCTGATTTAAATATCACGTAGCTATGTTATAAATTCAGCTTTATTTATTATTTTTTTTAATGATCTTCCAGCTTAAGTTGTCAAAGTGTTTTTAGCAGAATAAAAACCGTTCATCTCTCCATACACTTTTCGATAACTCCACAAATAGATGCGCTTTCAAGCTTTAATTTTGTGGTTAAGAATTGATCTAGGAAAAGCTTCATAAAAAATAATATAAATAATTAATTTTATTGAAATCTTTAACTACATAGCTATTTAAAAAAAAATTTTTATTATTAACTTAGCCAAGTTTCTAAAAATTAGTTTATGTAAATACCTAATAAAAAAAATATGCTAAGTATATTTTTAGTCTGAAATTCCAGCAGGTTGTAAATATTTTTCAGACATTAACAAAATTAGAAAGTACAGGAAGAGGGATAAAGATAACACTAGCACAAACTTAAAGACTGTTATTACGTAGTTTTCGTCTTATAAAACATTAAACGTAATATATTTTTAGTACTTTAGTACACAATTTTCTAGTATTAAAATTTAAAATTGGTATAAGAAGTTTTAATTTAGACTAAATGACTATATAACAACTAAAACTATCGAGTTTGATAGCGAATAACAGTCGACCCCCCCTATAACACTGTTGATTTTGACGTTTTATATGAATTCCATGTTGTACGAGTCACTTAGATTTTACAAATACGTCAGCCGTTCACAGCCCGGCACACGTATTTGTAAAATATAAGTGACTCATACAACACGAAATTCATATAAAACGGAAAAATCAACAGTGTTATAGGGGGGTCGACTTGTAATCATAATTAAGGTTATAACAATATGAGTTTAATTATAAATATATTTAAATAATAAACACATTAAAATTTTGAAATGTAATAATCCCTCATCCAGTCTCTGGAAATTTAAATTTCAAATAAATAAATAAATAAATAAAATGAGTAAGCAAATGAAAAACCAAACGAATAATGTATTTACGTATAAGTATAATAAAGAAGCATTTTTTGGAATTGTCCTATAATTTTGTTCGAAAACATGAACATTAAATACATTTCTAAGAATTTATATTTAAAGATTCTTGGAATATTTTTTTAGTTTAATGTTTGTTTTTCTTTCAATAAATGTCGCAGTTAGAGAGAGAAAAAAAATTCTGACATATTACGAGATATTAGAAAAAGAAAGAACAATCATTGGATTAATCAAACAACTTAAATAAAGAAAAAAAAGAACACATTTGAAAGCAAAGAAACTGATTGAAAAAGTAGTAAAAGAGAAATTTTTTAAAAATTATATCAAGAAACCAAAGAGAAAGTGACAGTTTATCTTTTTTTTAAAAAAAAATTCAATGAGAAATGAAGAATTTCTATAGATTTTATTCATAACCTTTATTTTACATATTCATAAATTACAAAGTCTAACAGTTTAGATTAAAGAATATTTTTCTGTAACTAAAATGAGAAATGAAAAGTTATTTATTTTAAAATCGAATGTATATTATTGCAATTTTTAATTATATTTTAATTAAAAAATTTAGAGTAAACAAATAAAGTGAGTAAGAATATACAAGATTGTATGTAAAAGTTACTTAAAAGTACAGAACTGATGTTAATGGTTATAACTTATTTCATGAAAAACTGGTAATAAAAAAAAAATCATAAATTATACATCATCATTTTTTTTCTCCATAGCAAGGAAAAAGGATTAACAAAATTCCAGCTGTTAATTAGATGTAATAATTCAATTTGAAGAGGAATTACAAGAGGAAAACAAGTACTGGTAGGCTACATATTAACTTAATACAACCAAAATCGTTGTAAATAATGGCGTAGGTTGCCTAAGGCTAAAAATAAAAGAGATATATAACTTTTAAGCTAAGCGCAAACTAGTCAAAGTAAATTAATACGATCGTCGTAGGTTCGAACAGTCCTCGAGTCTACGTCACTCAACGTCATATCTGATTCAACGTGTTGGATTTTTCGTGCAATAATAGTCAGACGTTTGTGTAATGAAATATTTGTCACATATTTAAGTTATACACAAATTTAAATACTGTATAATAATAGAATATCATAATTATTTCATTGAATTATTGAAACTACAGAATATATATAGGCTATATATATATATTAGAAAAGATATTTTATATTTATTGCTTACTAATTAATGTATTGCATGAACCTTCAAATCGCCAGATCATCGAAGGAAAACAATCACGTGACTATATAAGGATCATCTGACGTCACGACGAAAGCGACGGCATCAACTAGTTTGCAGGATCGTCGCTGATTCACATACTTTGGGAATTCGTNAGTGTTTACGTATACTTTTAATGAGAAAGATTATTTTTCTTATGATGTTCAACTGAAGATTAAATATAAAATATGGTAAAATAAATGCAAATAATATGCAAATATCGCTCTCTCTGATTTAATTCTTTTTGTTTTTTTTTTTCAATTAGCAATCAATTTTTAAGTATTTCTTATGTATTTAATGAATAGGCCCGTATTAATGTGTTTACATTTATAAGTGTGTGAGTATCTATGAGAAGTTATCTATTTCTGTTTCAGAAAAAATATATAATTGCATGAACCTTCAAATCGCCAGATCATCGAAGGAAAACAATCACGTGACTATATAAGGATCATCTGACGTCACGACGAAAGCGACGGCATCAACTAGTTTGCAGGATCGTCGCTGATTCACATACTTTGGGAATTCGTTGATGATATCACGTTCCACTTCAACCAATCGGAATCCTTGACACAAACCAATCAGCGATGATTTCTTCTAGCCCCATGTTTATTTATATCTTGATTTACGCATCAAAAAGTATGCATTTATTATAACTGTGTAAAATATTTTAAATTTATAAAAATAAATTAAGAATAACCGAAGTGATTCAAAATTTAGATGCTTAAGTAGTTATTTAATAGGCTATAGTTTAATAATTACTTTAACATAAATAAATATAATATTAGTATATATACTGCATAAATATTAATGCAACTTTTCATAAACATTATTCTTAAATTTATCACATTAATTTAACTGTATTATAGTTTATTTTATCTTTCTACTTTGTTATTGGTTTAATTTCAGATACAAGTTATGAAAATACAGTAAATCCCCCTATAACGCTGTTGATAATTCCGTTTAATATGAATTCCATGTTGTACGAGTCACTTAGATTTTACAAATACGTGTGCCGGGCAGAACGGCTCACGTATTTATAAAATCTAAGTGACTCGTACAACGTGGAATTCATATAAAACGGAATAATCAACAGTGTTATAGGGGGTCGACTGTATTTCAAGAAATTAAGATATATACAGTATAAGACTTAAACAATACCAGGAGTGTAGCCATCTTCCAGAAGACAATTGAGGTCAGTGGTGCACTCAAGATTTAATCTTGAGGAGCCAAATTGAAAATATAGAAAAATTTTTAATGCGAATTCAACAAAATGTGACTATTAATTCATAAGTAATGTAGAAATAGAAGATAGGACACAATATAAATTAAATGAATTTTAATTGGAAAAAGATTTTTGGAAAATTTACTAGTGTTTTTGTTACTTTTACATCAAGAGTGCCAGACCCCACTTCTGGATGCGACAATGAATGGCCTGATGTAGTCTGAATTTCTGACTATAACAATTTTAGAATATAAAATTAAAGCACTGAAGGGATATAAAATCACATCTATGCATCATCCCAGTTATAAATTTCACCTCCCAAAAAAATAATTATTGATGAAAAAGTTCTCTACTTTAAAGAAAATTTAAAAAAAATTTATATTTATATCAAGTTAGTCTTAATTCATACAATATGAAATCGAGATGTAACACGAATAAAGTGTCATTTTTTTGAGTGTATAAATTAAAAGTAATTTACAGGCGACACAATTGCAATATCGTAGGATACGTTCACACGAACAACTTTTAGTCGCGCTGCAAAACAACGCTAGTCACCGTTTCTTGCGATTAATCGCATACCCACGAGCGACAAATTGTAGCTGTGATACCCGAGACTTTTTCCAATTTTCAGTATTAAAACGGATTTTGTAGATTTTGCGTGGATTTCGCTCGTTCACTTGCGGCTTCATAAGAAAAAAACACAAAGGCGATATTGGATTCACCCATTCGGAGGCCCACGGCTACTAAAAGGGCAAGTTTTATAATGTATCATGGATTTAGTAAATGAACAGAAATAAGAAATGAGAAACAAGAAATGTGTTTTCCCTAGATTACGTGATTGTGAAGATACGCGAACACATCTCATTCAAACAAAAAAAAAAGAAGTGCACATGGAAATTGTGACAAAATAATCGCCCGTTTGTCTGGACACGTATAATAATATACATTGTGTGTTCCATCGGTTAAATTAAGGCCTCTGAAAAATCAAGAGGAACCGAAAGTTTCGCTTGAATTTTGAGAGGTCTTTTGAGTTTTTAATATAAAAAAATCGGCATTAAAAATTTTATTATGGTTTTAAATATTTGACAATGAATTTTTTTAATACACAAGAAATTCAATGGAATATTCAAATGACTTGTAACAAATAAAGTACAGCACATATAAATGTAGTTTTTTTGCCTTGTACAATCTTGGAATTCGGCTCTTCAAAAGTTTACGTTGGCCCTCTATGATACCAAGGTAGATGTCTATTTTAAAAAAGAATAGAAAACATGTTTTTATCACTTTGATCAAAAAGTATTGGAAATGGTTCAATAAAACGCAAGATTTAAATTTATTCATGAAAATTTATTTCGTTCTCTTTTAAAGTAATCCCTCCCACTGCACTTATACCAACATTTTTTCCAATCTTCGAAACATTCTTTAGAGCCGTTTTTGCAAAACTCCTTCTGGACTCGCGTAAATTTTGTTTTCTGGCATCAATTGAGTTAAAATGGTGACAACGAAGCCGAAATTTTAGTCGGAGAAACAGGAAAAAGTCACACGATGCTATATCGAGTGAATACGAAGCTTGTTGAATCGTATTTTTTTGAGTTTTTGGCCAAACATTCAGAACAACAAGAGCATTGTGAGCAGCTACATTATCGTGCAAAGTCCACGAATTTTCTCGCCATAGATCGGGTCGTTTTCTACAAATTGCTTGACGCAAACGACGCAAAACGCTGAAATAATATTCTTTGTTGACAGTATGGCCAGTTGGAATGAATTCGCGATGCACAACACCAGGACAATCGAAGAAAACAGTCAACATAACCTTGATTTTTGACTGACTTTGACGTAGTCTTTTCGGTCTTGCTTCACCCTTAGAGCGTCATTCACTCTTTTTATTATTGAACTGGTCAGTGTCAAAAGAGTAAATCCGTGTTTCAACACCCGAAACAATGCATTTTAAAAAGATTTACCTTGAGAAAATATTTCCTTGGCCACCCGAACACGCTGTTGTTTTTGAAAAAACTTTTAACGTTTTCGGGGCGACTCGAGTAGCGACACGCTACTCGAGTCGCCCAAGCCCCAAATGATATTTTTTAAATTGCTCGACAAGATCCAAATGATACTGGAACATATTCAATAATGTCTCTAATTNGTTATTTCTCATATAATAAATTATTTAACTTATGAATAATAATATAAATTTTAATATAAGAAAATAAATATTTTTTAATAAAGTTTAGATTTAACAAAAATTTATTTTTCTTATCAATGAGTTTTATTTTCCTGTAAGTTTGTTATAACTAATTTACATGGTATTAAAAATAAGAAATTTAATAAGTATAATTTTCATATTTTATCTATGTGTGAGGAATCATGCTGTTGCTATAGAGACTAAATTAAATTGAAAAGAGTACTACTAAAGGTGGAAGAGCTGAGATTTAATTGGTAGGGGAAACTAATTAGTGGTAGCATTAAACATCTAACAGATATCGATTCTTTTTAAAGTGTCACTAAAAATTTACTGTTTATTCTATTCGTTTCGTAAAGAAAATAATCATATCTTTTATTTTTTTCATTAATTTTTTATTTATTTAAATATTATACTATGTTAAAATAATAAAAAAATTTCTATTGTATATGTATTTACCCTTATTTGAAACTGTAAACCTTTGAAAGTTTTATTATTAAATATAAGAGAATAACATTTTAATAATGGATATTCAGTATCAAAAAGGCAAAATTAAGTAAGATTTTACAATAATTCAAAACTAATGATTTCGGTGAAGAGATTATTAACAAAAATAACTAAAAAAAAGGGGAGGAAATCTTGACTTTGACAAGGTGAAATAAATCAATAGCAAAACGAGATAAAATTTTTAAAGTAAAACTATTTGTTAATATGGAAGTAGGATCACATCTCCAAAATATATTATTTATTATTTTGTTTTGCCTGTGTTTTGTATGTTGCAAGCAAACTTTTCAATGGTATTTTTAGATACCAATACGTTTTTTTAGATATCAATTGTTATTTGTTTATATATATTATTAAATAAAATATCATTTGTATTTTCTTCTGTATTTATCTTTCTCTTTAATCTTTTTTTTTTTTCAAGTTACGTGATATCACTTAATATGATGAAAGAAAACTATTTTCTAACTACTATAATACGATTTTTTCAAGATTAAACATATTATTTACTACATTATTTTCGATTAAAAAAGTAATTTACTTCGGAGACATAATTAATGATTTTTTTTAAAGGTACACAGTAGTAATGGCATTAATGTTAGATTTCAGTCTAATAAAAGAACTAAACAGAATACAAGTTTTTGTAAATAATAGTACTGTACATTAATAACAAATTATGGATTATAATTGAAATATTTTCGAAAATGTATGCAAAGTAATAAATAAAATTTAAATAATAACACTACTGTTCTTGAAAAGTTTCAATAGATGTATATAGTGTTAAAATATATAATAGAACAATAGTGTGAAATAGGACAAATGGATTAATAAACTGTTAAATTATTATTCAAAAATATATATATATATATCATAGAAGGTGGTTTTTTTTTTCAATAAAAAGTAAAACTATGATAACAATTTGTTTCCTTTTATCAACGAAAGAGATTGGTGATTGAAAATTCTTTAATTCTTTGTAATTAAAATATATATATATATAATCGTTTAAGTCATTGTAATAGTCGAATGGAATGTATTAAGTTTTTCAAATATGATTTTACTGTAATACTTTTAATTGTGAACATGACTCTTTAACATAAAATTTCGATTTTTCGAAATTGCCTACTAAAAATAACTATTTAGAAGTTAGGTTGACTACCAATTATTTTATATGGCGTGACAAAATGCTTGATCTTTGCCCGAATGGAATTCAAGTTTTCTTTTGATTAAATCAATAACTATCGTTAACAGAAACATAGGCTATATATAAGTTATGTTTTATATGACTTGTGTTTTTCATAATAAGATTAAATCGTTCATTTTATTTTAAAGTTATTATTTATATTTAATGATTTCCTACAGTGTTCATGGAATTCATTTCAGTGTTTATAAAGGTTGTCTACGCGAATACAATGTAAGCAGATTAGGATAACGTCGAATAAGAAAATTAGCAATTTATCAGAGAAAACTTTAGAATTAAAAGCAATTTTACTTTATAGTTGTTAATTATGTTAAATATCAATTATAAACATATTCATTTATGCCTATTATTAGAAACGGCACAATAATCGTTCGTAGTGGCCAACATTAACCTAGATATACAAGTCGACCACCCTATAACATTGTTGATTATTCCGTTTTATATGAATTCCATGTCGTACGAGTCACTTAGATTTTACAAATACGTGAGCCATTCACAGCCCGGCACAAGTATTTGTAAAATCTAAGTGACTCGTACAACATGGAATTCATATAAAACGGAATAATCAACAGTGTTATAGGGGTCGACTGTATAACCAACAATAGATTTCTATTGTTTTCAATTTAAAAATTTAATTCTTGTATTGAATTATTTTGCTAAAAACTTAAATTTAATCTTGAAAAATTTATTAAACTTAAACATTATATTAAAAGCTGATAATATATAGTCTATTATTTCTAATTTCATTTATAAATATCTCAAATGTGAGTAGTAATAATTCGTAGATGGAACATTTTGATTAGTAGTAAATCTAGTACTAATCCTTATTAAGGATTAATGTATCAATTAATATTAATTTATAGTACTTAATAACAATCTTGCTTATATTTTAAGTAATATAGTCATTAAAATTTTAAATTAATTAAAACGTATTATAGTTAAAATAATCATTAAATTAATAGCTGTTATAGAAGCAGAATTTTAATTAGTAAAGTATATTTACACACATTAAAATCTTGCTTGTTTGAAAATATATTTTTAAGAACAAAAAAATTAGAATTAATTTTTTCATTACTCTTTTTTTTATATTGCATGAAAAAAGTTATTTGACAGTGTTTATTTAATATTCGGTCTTTTCACATTTCACACTATGAGTTTAGTAGCATAGTGACCAGTGCTATATTGTATCTAGCTGATTCGTATTCAGTAGAGCGTTATAACCTCATGTAGCCCAGGCGAGTTTGAATTAAGGGGTCCAATGTACAGTATAGTGTGGACTTTAGGCATTTTTCTTCGGAAAAATATTTTCTTATAAAAGATTGGTTTTGGATCATCTGTTAGAAGAGGCCCCAGGAAATTGCCCTTTTTGGCGGTATGATAACACGTCACTGTTCATCTTATCTACTCTGTTTCGAGTAAGAAGGGCAACACTTATTTATCAAAGATGGACATACAATATGGGATATATCATATTGTCCACATATAATATTCTAATGTAACCTATATCTATAACTTTTTTTCTATTCTTTAACGGTAATTATACATTAGGGGAGATCGGGGCAAGATCGGCATGTTAAGCTTTACTTAAATTTTGTGTAATAAATACTGCTGTAAACTGAAAAAAAAGCTTTGCATATTGTCTATTGGAATGTTACCTTACTATAGAACTGGTTAAAATCAGTTTGGAAATNTCGAAAATGTATGCAAAGTAATAAATAAAATTTAAATAATAACACTACTGTTCTTGAAAAGTTTCAATAGACGTATATAGTGTTAAAATATATAATAGAACAATAGTGTGAAATAGGACAAATGGATTAATAAACTGTTAAATTATTATTCAAAAAAATATATATATATATATCATAGAAGGTGGTTTTTTTTTTCAATAAAAAGTAAAACTATGATAACAATTTGTTTCCTTTTATCAACGAAAGAGATTGGTGATTGAAAATTCTTTAATTCTTTGTAATTAAAATATATATATATATAATCGTTTAAGTCATTGTAATAGTCGAATGGAATGTATTAAGTTTTTCAAATATGATTTTACTGTAATACTTTTAATTGTGAACATGACTCTTTAACATAAAATTTCGATTTTTCGAAATTGCCTACTAAAAATAACTATTTAGAAGTTAGGTTGACTACCAATTATTTTATATGGCGTGACAAAATGCTTGATCTTTGCCCGAATGGAATTCAAGTTTTCTTTTGATTAAATCAATAACTGTCGTTAACAGAAACATAGGCTATATATAAGTTATGTTTTATATGACTTGTGTTTTTCATAATAAGATTAAATCGTTTATTTTATTTTAAAGTTATTATTTATATTTAATGATTTCCTACAGTGTTCATGGAATTCATTTCAGTGTTTATAAAGGTTGTCTACGCGAATACAATGTAAGCAGATTAGGATAACGTCGAATAAGAAAATTAGCAATTTATCAGAGAAAACTTTAGAATTAAAAGCAATTTTACTTTATAGTTGTTAATTATGTTAAATATCAATTATAAACATATTCATTTATGCCTATTATTAGAAACGGCACAATAATCGTTCGTAGTGGCCAACATTAACCTAGATATACAAGTCGACCACCCTATAACATTGTTGATTATTCCGTTTTATATGAATTCCATGTCGTACGAGTCACTTAGATTTTACAAATACGTGAGCCATTCACAGCCCGGCACAAGTATTTGTAAAATCTAAGTGACTCGTACAACATGGAATTCATATAAAACGGAATAATCAACAGTGTTATAGGGGTCGACTGTATAACCAACAATAGATTTCTATTGTTTTCAATTTAAAAATTTAATTCTTGTATTGAATTATTTTGCTAAAAACTTAAATTTAATCTTGAAAAATTTATTAAACTTAAACATTATATTAAAAGCTGATAATATATAGTCTATTATTTCT